AAATTTCATTTAGTGACTACGTATGTTTTTAATCATGATTGGCTAATTCAATTGGTTAATAAGTAACGGAAATTCGGGGGTAACACGTGAAATAGGAAAGTCACCCAGGTCCGCTTGACTGGGGATACCCGGTCGAGTGCCGGTCATGTCCCACGAAATTGGGGCGTGACAAACTTGGTATCAGAGCTTAAGGTTTTAAAGTGTCCTAGGATGTCTCGGAGTCGTGCCTAGTAGAGCCCTTCTCATCGGTGTGTTGTCGACCACATCGAAGGGAAGGGGGCTGCACGGGCATTTAGGAAACTATTCTCTTCTTTGATATTCCAGATCGTGTGATATGACTCAAGATATGGAGTTAATTTTCTCTCTAGGTACTATTCTCAAGGTTGGTAATTTTGATACCATAATCTGTGAATTTGAAGCATGTAAGGAGGGATTTATCCCTACCATTGAGTCCGGGTGGATTACCCAAGGACTTGTTAGAAGAATGTGTTGAGCCATGGAGTGATTGGTAGAACTTGTTGTTAAGGAAAGGTACTTTCTTCATGTGGTTAATATGTGATTATTGGTAAATGAGGATATGTGAAGAAGTGAACTATGTGCCAAAGTGCCTAGATTTAAATTGAGATTTTGATGCCAAATTGTGTAAGAAAACTCGTTATGATTGATCCTCCAAATTGTTCTTATGTGTACCAATTGTATTTGACTGATTGTGACTAGTTGTTGGTAATGTACAAAGATGTTTGGAAGTGAAGTAAGTGATTGTATAAATGTGGTAGGATTAAACTTTGGGTTCTTGATGTGATTGGTACTTTACATGAATTATTGTTGTGACCCTATATTTGTGAAAGACGCATTCCAATATAATCAAAGTGGTATTGTTGATGACTTAAAAGGGGTGGAAGGAATATGAATCATGTATTGAAATGGTAAGACCTTTAATTGAGATTGAGTTGCATATCGTATGCCAAAATATGTGAAATCTTCTATGTATATAGATGTTTGAAGTGATCGAATGAATTTGGGAAATAGAGTGTGGCTAGTATGTTGAGAACTTGAATAATAATTGTATAATGTCATGATTGAAAAAGAAGGATTCGAGAATAATTGGTGTAATTGCTTGTTTATGCCTTTGATGTATGTTTCTATTTCGGGTTGGTGTATCCCCTCTACCCATTTGAAAGAACCCATTGTGTTTAAAATTCCATTGCCAATAAACTTGAGGCTTATGATTTATGAGATATTGTATATGCCGAGGATTCGTGATTCCTCTCATGTGTACTTGATATCTTGAATTAACTGATTTGTTGTTGAAATTGTTATTGATGTGAAACATGTGGGACTAATGAGAAATATGGGAAAGAAGAGATTGAGATATGAAATGTGGCATAATGCCAAGTATGATGTGGTAATTGTGGCCCCAAGTGCCTACGAATTGATATTGATGTGAAATATACTGAAATAATGTGAAATGGGGGAAAGAAGATATTGTGTTATGAAATGTGGCCTAGTGCCAAAGATGATGTAACAATTGTGGCTTCAAGTGCCGATGAAATAATATATGTGAAAAGGGCATGATTCTTGTATTTGATAATGTGGTGATCATTTAAAGTGTTTGATTTGTACTTATGTTTTCCTTATTATTGAGTGAAACACATAGGTGTATAATGTGATATGTGCCCTATAGAAGGGCTATAAAATGCAGCCTATAGGTATGAGAATTATGTGAAAGCTGTGTGATCCTTTTTATTTGGTAAGGTTGTGATTGTTTAAAGCTTACGATTTCCTTGTCCTTTTTAAATGAACAAAATCTACTTACTTGTACCTATGCATGTACCGTCGTAAAGTTTACCTATTTGATGTCAAGTTTCATGTAAAGCATCCCTGTGTTGCGATCCTTCTTGAGTCACTCTTTTACTCAGTTGTGCATGTGGCTTATGTGGTTTGAGCACCAAATATACTCTCTTGCGAGTATCATCACAAAAGTTTCTCACTACCTAGTAACATAAGAGCATGCCTTAACATCTATCATATGAGTGCATATCAATCGAAATGGTCACTGTGTGCATAAAGATTTTCTGAAAATTTTGAGATCTTCACATTCCCATCACAGGAAGGTCGTGTGTCGCCATAAATTTCTTATCCACTTAGGTTATCCCGTGGAAAGTATTTCACTTGGTTTCTAGTATTGTGGTCGCCCATGATGTGGTCTTGTATCGCAGTCAGAGAGTTAACATAGTAGAGGCATGTTCATCTTGTAACCAATGGTTGTTTTCTCTTACACCTCCGTAACATGTGTTAATTGTGATTTTTTTAGCTGAGGAAAGTGATGGTGCTAGATCCTAACACTTATTCGATAGCAGTGAGAGAGCGTGCCCTTCTATGTGTCACTATGACACTTCCTTTTTCAAGTCAAAACCTATGGAGAGATCATCATGAACATATGTATACCTTCTAGGATTATTGTGCATTGTCTCATTGAGTTTGGTTGTTCTTATACCCTCAAACTTCTTGGAACATTGACTATATCATTGTCATATACGGGGAGTTTTTGCTACTCTTGGCATTTCACTTTCTTGGACTGGATAGGGGTGTTATTTGTTTTTTCTCCCCGGGGTATCCTGTTAATCATTTGAATCCATCTAACCGATAGATGATTTCGTCCCAATATTAAAATGTCCTAGCTTTGTGGTTTGAGCCTTGTAAGGTTGAGATTTGATGACTTCGAATTTTTGCACATATCATGAACATGTGGATTTGAAAGACAAGTGGTCGTATTTTTAGTTCCCTCATATATGATCAGTTATCCGTAAAGTTTAAGCTGTTTCAAGAATGATAATCTCATAAGTATTCCACTTCTTTTCATCCTCGTGGGCTTGTGGCATAGATTCTTTTTGTGTCAGTCAACATTAAGGGTATAATTCAACTTCATGTGTTTTGCAACCCATATCTCATTCAAGGTGCCTAAATGGATTCCTAAATAATTCCAAGCCCAATCTTGAACTTTGTTATTCCTTACCGTATTAGATCTATTGGGTATTGAAGATTCAAATATGTCAAAGAAGATGTATCCCCATGTGATCCCATGTATTCGACAAGTAATTTTATCGTCAGTGTATGGTAGCACATCCTAGAATCATTGTTGGAGGTAATCAATGGTTAAGTGTGAGGGTAGAAATTTAGATTTTTGAAAGCTGAATGAGTTATTATTAATACTTTCCCTTAAGGATGTTAGGCGAGTTGATAGTGAAGGTAACACAAGTGTATTACCCATTAGGTTGCAATAGGAGTATGATATTTCCGGTAACTGTTTTTTATGTACTTTGTGTTTCCATATGTTATATCTAAGGAGGTAATGAATTGGTTTGAATGAAATATGTGATCATGGTAATATCTCATATGATGCACTAATAGCATGAATCGTCATGGTTTGACTTCATACGGATTGTGGTTGGAATGAAATTTTATTCTTGTTGATGTTCACCTTTGGGATTACGTTAGTGGCTAGTGAGGAATACTATGGAAACAAAATTGTTGGTTGTGATGAAAGAACATTCTTGATGGTATGATGCTATGTGATGAAATTGTGGGTTATTGCTGTTACCATGAATTGCAATATCCGGTGAAATGTAATTGTACAAGACTAACTCATGCAAGGTGTCTATCTATTACTAACTCATGTGAGTGATAATGAAGTTGTATAAGTGTACATCGCATTAGGTTGCACTAGAAATATGAAGTTTTCCCCTAGTTGTTTCCCTTTTATATTTTGTGTTTTAACGGGTTTATGTCTAAGAAGGTAGGTGGAGGATATTGAAGGTGAGGTTAATGACTAGTTAGCTTATGCGAGATACCTACTTATCATACTTGCTAAGTAAGAGTGGGGATGGAGATTGTATTTGTGAAAATAGTATGGAAAATTTTCTAAGTATAAGAGTCCACGAGGAAGGTCGAGAGCGATGTGGGAAGAAGGTATTTTCTCTTAATTATATAGCATTGGTTTTGATTTAAAGATACCTTCTAGGTATTATGTTCTATAAATGTGTAGTCTGTGTCCAGGTATCATCGTGATAATGTGGTGCTTGTAAAGGTGAGGTTCTTGATATTTATATATATCTATTACGGTACTTTTTCGAGTGGTGGATATGTGTTTAGGACGGTTTTGGTGGTTCTCTGAGAAGGTGGATAAGCCTAGTTACAAGGGTGACTCTGGCGAATTTTTTTGAAACATTTGGGAGTTAGTCAAAATTTAGAGACTTGAGGTAGGTTAGAAAAGAGATGGGTGATGTTAAAAGTGTTTGGGGTAAAACTCTATTCCTCATTCGAGGACGAATGATCCTAAGGGGGGGAGAANGACTGTGACCTTGGCGTTGCCAGACATGCCCCGATTAGAGTGGAGAGGGACCCCCGGTCATACCTCTCGCAGTGTTATTGTAAGGCCCCGGAAAATTTTTCCAAGTAATTTGAGATTTCGTCATGCCTAGGTAGACTAATTATTTTATTTCGTATGCAAATGAGGATTTAGGATATCATGGATATCAATTAGTTATGTTAATAAGTGTATAAGTTGTATTAGAGGTGAATTGGGGTCAAGGGATAAGCCCAAGTGTAAGCCAAGTTGGAAAATTTCAGATTAGACAAAATCTGTGAATGAGTGCGCACATGACCTCACTTTGGACGATCATATCTCCAGTTATATAAGGAGTTATGTGGGCATCTACCTATCAAATTAAAGCCCTGTGAGTCTAGTTTCCAACGCAACAAACCGTGCATCATTTGGAGTTGTATACAAAAAGTTATGACCATTTCAGTGGAAGGGTGTCGAACCGCGCGAACACCGCGCGAAGACCGCGCTATATCGCGCGTTTTTGCGCCTGAGGCAGTGTCTCAGCGAAAACGCGCGAACAACGCGCGAAGACCGCGCGACATCGCGCGTTTTGCGTACCTGGAGAGTTTTTAAGTGTTCTAAGACCATTCTAGAACATTACCAACTCATTTTTGAGGTTAGGTCTTGCTCTCTCAAGGGAATTTCGTCCCAACCCTCATCCCTATGATCCAAGGTGAGTTTTTAAGTATGTTTTCATGGTGATTTCACTTCTCAATCATTAGATACAACATGATTTTGGTTGTATTTCATAGGATTTCTTCAAAATCTCAAGAACACCAAAAGTGAGGATTCTTAAAATCCTTACTACAAGAGGTATGTCTATCATCTCTAGCTACTCTATGGTAATTATTCATGGAAGATCTATACATTAGAACTCATGGGTTATGACTGAAAGCCATATGTGCCTAACCTAGGTTGTGTTGGTGTTGTAGAGGTTATTAGATGGATTTTTGGGGTATGATTCTTGGTATAATTGTATTATATATGCTTGTATGTACAAATTAAGATTTTGGGTTGATTAATGAACATAAATAGGTAAAGATGGGTTGGTGAATGAAGGAAGTCTTGTAAAAGAGGGTTAATAATCAAGATGTTCATTTAGTGTTTGTTAAAATGCTCAAATGAGCTAGTTTCATGAATATTTTTCTAATATGTGTTTAATTTTGTTATGTCTCATAGTAGATTGGAATTACTTGAATTTCCGGAATATCGTAGTAAT